GCTCGGATGCTGGCAGGCAACCATGGCCGCTCGGGCGGCATGGCTGCGGGTGTTGGCGGACCGGGGTGGCGACGAAGGAGTTGAAGCACCAGGGTACATCACCTACCCAGTCTGTGCACTGGTAGACGGTGACACGTCCGTGGACATCGTGTTCCTCCTTGCAGGCTCTGTCGTGGTGCTTCTACTCCTTCCATCTTACTCCGGGTGAAAACTTGATCTTCGGATCGGACGGTGGCGACGTTCGTGGTCGTGCCCTTCCTGGAGGCACCGTCTTGGAGTCCTCGGTCCGGCATGTCCGTCGCACATCCTCCCAGACGATCGCTCCTCGTGATGGTGGTCTCCGTCGGCTCTAAGCGGACCCGTTTTGCTCATCTTTTAGGTACTTTGTAGTCGTTGAGGTTGTGTGTCGGTGCTCGGCATTCGTGTATCTTGCCTTGGGTGTGTGTGGCGTGCGTTTGTATCGGATGCTTCGATGTTGTGTTGGTGCTTTATATAATATAAAGCGGGGGGGAACCCTTTTTCGTTAAAATATGGACCAACCAAACATAATCTATGTCAATATATACAATGTAAATGAGCTACATATAATGAAACAAGTACTGGTATTTCATATGGTGCTTAGAACATTCATGTCACAATAATGGATGTAAAAGGAAGAGGAAATTACACCAAATTTAGTGCCAAATTAGTTTCAAACATGTCTGGATGGTTCCATCGCATACTTCTATAAATTCCACAGCTAAAGGCTGTTAGGCTGTTACTATATACTCCCTCCATCCCATAATATTAGACATTTTTGCAAGCTAACATAGCTTGCAAAAACGTCTTATATTATGCGACGGAGGGAGTAATTTCTAGCCCATCATATGAAATATCCCTGTTATAACATGGTTCTCAAATTAACATGACAATTTCTAGCCCTTGAGAATGAACATGATGGCTCTTATTAAGCTTACTTTAATCATATAATAAAGAAGGAAAGACAATTTGTATGCTTACCGTTTGTACAGCCAAATATTGTCCATGCAGAAGGTGCAATAACATCAGATGCCATTGGATCATTATGAGAAGATGACAATATTGTCCAATCTGGTAAAAATTACACAAAACAGAAAATAAGGGGTGAGATGGCACTAGAGAGAACAAATAGATTTATTATTTTGAAAACAATTTGGGTAACAAATACGAAGAAACTATTTAAGAGCATCCCCATATAGTAAGATACTTAATTGTTTACTAAACCTACTTGTTCATCACAAAGTATAATAATGCGTTACATACCTATTGAGTGCATGCGGTTACTGCGGCGGCTTAGTCTGCAATGATGTAGTAGCTAATTAGCCAACCGAACATGCATGGATGCCACTTATTACAAAAAAAGTCAGCACACGTGTTAAACCAAAATGACTTTTCTATCAAAAAACTGGAAGAGCATAGCATGTAGCATAGAACTGTAAAGACCAACAGTCAAACTCAGACTGAAGCATCCATGTATAACCACACGAGTAATACACGAAATCATGTGTTGACATGCGATAATTTACTTTATAAAAATATGAGCATGATAAGTTACAGCTAGGCATCATTATTTCTTTAGCTCAACTCTTGAATACAAATCTAGCAAAAGAGCTAATGCAGTATAATCCATCTGTTGCAATGGAGTACAAAATCCATGGCATTTGGTTCCAACAAACCACACATGGTTTATCTTCAGGCGGCAACGTGAAATTTCTAGCTTACACAAAACAGGACGACATGTTTGCTAGGACAAACATCTGACAGTAGTACTCAAATAAAATATTCATGTCATTTTCAGTGACAACGCCAATTTTCTGATTAAAAGAAATATGCAACCAATTGGAAAAGGGGTATATACTTTAGTAAAATATAAAAAAACGACCTTATTGTTATCAATAGGAAACAAAGGCATGCATTCCCTGTCCATAGACTTGATAATCAACAAATTTGTGCTGCATATATTACCTGAAAGCCTGCCACCTTCTATGTGAACAAGCAACAACATGCTCATCTTTTCCGGGGGACTGCGCTCAGTGAAGAAATTATGAATTATATTAATGCTTTTGTGAACATAATGACAATGAAAACAATAAAATAAGCAAATCATGGACCTTTAAGGCAGACTCCATTAAGCACCTGATCCATCTTGCTGCTTCTTCTGAGCTTCTAGCACCCAACTGAAAAGCATCGGTCAATCAAAATAATCTTTGTATCACAAACCAAGCAGAAAGAATTAGCTCTGGTGTCAGACATGTGACTTAACAGTTAACATCAGTGCTTACCTTCAGCTGATCATAGTGGTTAGAGGCATTGTAGAGTGTGAATATGTAAAAAACCTGTCGACAAAATGATGACCAATGGGATCAAGTATTGTTCATATATTTGTAGGTAAAAATGTAAAATAAGAAATGAATGAGCTTACACTTCTATGAACACTTTCTCTCCCATTGTCCGTAACACGTATACAAGAGTCAATTACTGCACTTCTAACAGGATCCTGTACCAGGGGAGGAAGGGGGGTGGAGCAAAACAAGCATAACATCATATTTCAAAAGAACATACAAGTGGAGCAAAAAAATTGTGGCAGAAAATGAGAGTTTTTTTTTGACAGCAAATAAACTCAGAAAATGAGAGATTATGGAATAGCAAATGCATGATCAATATGACATTCCTTTCCCAGACAAATGTGCTTTCATTGTTAACCATAACTCAGTTGAAATACACTAAACATAGTGCCAACTTCTATGAACACTTTCTCTCCCATTGTCCGTAAC